TTAACTTTACTAAATAACATGGCATTACACTTAGTGGGATCAAGTTGCAAGGCATGTTTTTGGTAAAAATCACGGGAAACTTTAAAATCGTGGTTAATTTTCTCTAAAGCCTCGTGTAGTTCAGTATGACAAAATCAGTGGTAAATCTGCTCTCGTCCGCCTACATGTAAATGTTACAATGCTTCAGTTGTTTACACAGAGCACTTGTAAAGATTAAGAACAATGTTGGACCCAATATTGAACCTTGCGGTACACCTCGAGAAACATCTCGAAGTTAATATGTTGTTATTGACCTTTACCATCTGAGATCTGTGTTTAAATAACTAGAGAATAAGTTTATCGCACTATCCCCAATGCCTCGAATTTATAATTTTGAGAATAGCTTCTTGATCAACAATATTAAAATTAAGCTTAGACTGCACAAAACAATTAAATTTGTAATTATTCAAAACTTCTTAATCAATAGTAAATCTGGCGTAGTTAAAACAAGGTGATCTTTAACTGCATCAGCATCTAATTGAAGATTACTAAAGTCATTTTTACGGCTATCCTTTATATGCAATCGTTTGAGTTCGGACCACAATTGTTTGGAATTTTTTGTTTGGGCATTGACCTTAAAATAGGCTCGCTTTTCAGATTTAATTGCATTGTTAGTCATATTTCGCAGTTGCTATTAATAATTCGTAATTCCAGCTTCCCTCAGAAGGATTATGTGTGGGTCTATTTTTACCTTAATCCCGTAAATTCATTAAAAGTCTAACATTTTCTGTTAACCAGAGAGAGAAATCTGGTAAACGCTACTGTACACCAGGGAGCATGTTTATCGAATAATGAAAAACTGAATCTTGACATTGATATTGCCAAGTTGGTACAAACGTTGAAGAGATAAGTCATGCAACTCTTCATCAAACAAAATAAAATTGCAGCGTTTATAGTTTGGAAAAGCATTATGATTGCTGATAGAAAAAAATTAAAGAAGAAATCCAAATTGGACCCTCGGTTGATTTGGAAAAAGTGCTTGTCCTGATCCCCTCTATCACCCATTTTTTTTACCTGCAGTCATGTAACGCCATGTATAACCTTTAGAATTTAATTTTAAATCAAAAAACCGCTCCCGTTACAGAAAGCTGTAAGTTTGTTTCCATGGAAGTTAGCTGTTATAGCTTTTACTGTAACATGAAAAATCACCCCTTAAAATGGAAACCATTACACAACACCACTACACATTGTTGTATGTAATAAGATGAAAGTAATAACTTTCAAGTCAAGCTGAAATTTCACAATAAATGCTATAAAATATATAATACAATTATTGAAAAGGTTTGATCTAAAACCTGTGGAATTGGTCTCTATTAATAAACGAATCCTTTCATTAACCAATATTATTTTCCAAAGCAATTTTACGTTTTAGTCTCGGTTTTAGTTTAAAAATAATGAAATTTGCCCGTAAGGAGAAATAAATCGCTTTCTACAGCTGTGGGTTATACAGTAGAAAATCAGGATTAAAGCTAAAGGCAAACAATGCGCACGTGGCTCGATTATAAATTGCGCACTTATTTCGACCTATGGTATAGGTGTAGTGCATGTAATGATGTGACACGTTTATAATGTTGTATACGGAGTGTCAATTTTAAAACTTGCAGTCGGCCATATTTTCCAAACTAAAGAAGATATTGAAAATCGCGCAAAACCGTTTCGGGGGTATCGAGGGGGAACCAGAATGACGGTATGAGTGACAACCCCCTACCTCCTTAACCCCTCAGCTACCCCTCTTCAAAAATCCTAAATGGCAACCCCATACTTCTGACACATCGTTGGAAAGCTACTGAAAAATGCTTTCCAGTGGTACCAATAAAGTCAATATTCATTACAATTTAACAAAAAAAACTAAATGTTGACATTGAGAGATATATGGCAAATTGGCCAAACACTTCAACCTGAACTGACGCATGAGCAGACGCAGAATTTTTCAAGCTATAAGAAACCTATTTAGAACTTTGCTCTAAATTATTAGTTAGGGGAGAAAATATTGCGATATTAAGAAATTAGCATTGAAATCCCTATGGTGCGTAAATGGTTTCTACACCCCGTATAGTGTGTCATGGAACATTGACAACTACTAACTTTCCTATTTATATACAAGATCCTTTATATTATCAAAACATTATTTACGTATAATATCCTATACATATTCGTCTAAAGCATATTTATATAATAAACCAGTTTTTAAAAAATAGCATTAAGTATTAATTGTATTTTTTGTTGTTGCAGGTGAGTTTCCGTTCCATACTTTCCGTTCGAGTTGCTGTAAGTATTCAATTTGTAATATTTCATTAGGAATGCATAATTATGAGGAATTCGTGCGATTGAAATAGCATCAGGAACCAAAATTTCGATAAATTGTTACATTTACTTTGAGCACAAGCAACAAAATTAGAGGGATTGAGAGATCCTTGTTCTATTCTTGATCAAAGGCTAACGAACTTAAACAATAACGATAGTCAATGAATAGCTGAAATCGATGGCAATTTATTTGAAAAACTATAAACTATAACAAAAGGTTTCCAAACGTTACAAATATGAGTCATATTCAAATTCAAAAGTACTTTACAGACAGAGATTAGCTCATAGTTAGAAAATCCTTATCGAAATATACTTCCGTAGGAATAACGGAATTAAAATTGTTTAAATGGCGATTCGATTCGGCTGTATCGAAAGCCAATGTTAATCTCACAGAGTACGACGAAATAAAATATTACCCTTGTACTCTGGCCACGGCCATCTAACTTCACGAGGGTGCTTTTTGTCGATCACCTGCGAAGAACTGTTTCATACTTTATTAAAGATTACCTATAGGCTTATGTCCAAAATTTTTTATATAATAGGTTAGA